TTCCCTCTTCTCTGCCAATACCACCAGTATTGGCAACCTGCTTGTCCACTTCTTCCACAACCACCACTGCATTTTTTTCTATGCCACCTCTTACATATGGAATACCCTTCACCCATTACATATGGAACCCACTTCTCTAAACTAATTCTTCAGATTTTTCAAGATGAGAAATTGTCAAGGGAGGGCCAGGGCTCTGAGGTGGCACCAAGCATTCTCTCTCTCAGGTCCTGTAGTACTTTGGTCTATTTTCAGTTGTTTGGATTTAGTGTGTGGGTGCTGTGTGGGATGTTAGTGGCCTGTGATATACAGGAGATCAGACTAGATGATCTGCTGGCCCCTTCTGGTCTTAAACTCTACAACATTTTTACTTGATTCCTACAAGAAATCACTCTACTAATAAGAGTTAGTCAGAAAGCCTTGCAGGGATATTTCCCCTTTTTTAAAAATTGGGGGTACACTGTATCCCTTTCCTCTAACTGTTAATTGTTAGTCTTCTTAGATCAGGGATCGGCAACGTTTGGCCCACGGCCCGCCAGGGTAAGCCCCCTGGTTTGTTTACCTGGGCCGGGCTGGTTTGTTTACCTGCCGCGTCTGCAGGTTCAGCCGATCGCAGCTCCCATTGGCTGCGGTTCACCATTTCAGGTCAATGGGGACTGCGAGAAGCCATGGCCAGCACATCCCTTGTCCTGCGCCACTTCCCGCAGCCCCCATTAGCCTGGAGCGGCGAACTGTGGCCAGTGGGAGCCGCGATCGGCCGAACCTGCGGACGCGGTCAGTAAACAAACCGGCCCAGCCCACCAGGGCCGCATGCCAAATGTTGCTGATCCCGGTCTTAGATTATGAGATCTCTGGCAGAGGAACTGTAGCTAACTATTCATCTGGACAGTACCTAACACATTGTGAACAAAGCATGCTGCAAAAATAACTGAAGTACAAATAAATAATACCAGAAGATGAGTGAGTGTTTTCTGCAGTGCAACTTTCCTTTCTCAAGTCCCTACCACCATCAATCCTTTTTCATTATTTTCATTTGTTTTCTCCAAGACAAAAAGGTTTATTTTAGTCTTCCCTAAGATGCTCTTTCTAAAAGCCTGAAGACATTTTCTACTTGCAATAGCAGCTGCTAAAAGCATGCAATTTAAAATTATTCACACAAAACAAAGTTGTTCTAAAACTAGCACTGTGATCTACAGAGACAATTTTCAGGGCAAATTAGTTACTAAGGCTCATAGCTAGTCCCACTTTAAAAGACTACAGAAAACCATAATGATTAGGACGCTAGGTAATCTGATAGAACAATTAAGATTAGTTTGACATAATTACAGAACATTCCAGCACCCCAACCATACTACATCACACTCTAAAGTAGATTTAATCCAAAAACTATGTGCTGGGGAAGGATGAGAAGAAGCTGCATGAGTTGCCTGGATTGAGGAATATGGGTATGTGCAATATAAGAAATGAGTCTAATGTTTGTAGAGAAGTGTGGGGTGTACTCTGTGGGAGCAGATACTATTAGAAGCATTTATGGAAGAGTTTATACAGTTTAGGGAGAACAGGCCAAAGAAAGTCAGACTAGTTTCGTGTAAGTTTCCAAAGAATTTCACCTACATGCATATCCTAAAAAATTTCCTGAATGAAAAAGAAGTCCGTTAGAAAAGTCTGTTTTGACAGAGGTAAAAGGAAAGCTCTAAGATCACCTGATGGGTGGGTTTATGTTTACTTACTTTAAAATAACAGTCAATTTGAAAGCTGTGTTTTTTTAAATGAGTTTCATGTTCTAGACCCTTCCCCACTTTCCTACTTTAAAAAAAGGTTTCTCTTCCCTATTGTCCTGTGCATTAGCACCTGGGAAGCTAACCGACTATAGAAAGAGTGAAAAAGGTTACCGGAGGTCCCTGGTATACATCTCCCCCTTATCCGTTGTTTTGGATATCCGTCACTCATCAATAGGGGAACGTGTTCCAATTTACATTGATCCTGATCCCATATCATTTGCACAGATAGGGACTGATGTGAATTGGAACACATTCCCCTATTGTACAGTACAGTACAGTACTGTACTTGCGACCGCTGGCCATGTTCAAGGCTTATTACCTATGGAGGACGTTCTCCATGTTGATTAAGGAGACACCAGGTGAAGCCTAGTGTAAAGGAGTTTTGGAAGTCCTACAACATCTTGAACAGCATGGAAAACATTGACACGTTGTGGGAAGAGGTCACTTCACAATGTATGAATGACATTTGGTGCCGTGCATGGCCAGATGCTGTCCACAGCTTCGTGGGATTTGATGCCATTCCTACTCTCACGCAAGAAACAGTCAAGTTGGCGAAGGATGAAGAATTGATTGAACTGGACCAACAACGGCTATCTAAAGAAAGCAAGGACGATGATGTAGGGCAGGAAGCCAGGAGTCTGATGACAAAGAATCTCTCCGTTTCTTTGGATTGCTGGATGAGATGACAGAAATCATACAGGGCAGTGATCCTTTTTGTGAACGGTCTGCCAAAGCCTCCAGGGCTCTCAATGATGCAGTGGCTTGCTACAGGGAGATCTATTGTTCAAAAATTCATGCAGGAGAGCAGAGGTCGATAAAACCTTTTTTTAAGACTTCTGCAACCAAAAGGCCAGCCACAGAAAAGCCAGCCCAAGAAAACCGAGCCGCCACCCCAACCTAAGTTTAGCGTAATTGACACTATTTTATAATGTATTACAGTACTGTATTTACTTTATTAAAATATTCTATGTGTTTGAATGGTGTTAGTAGGGTTCTACATTATTTTATACAATGTTTTATATGTAAAATGTGTACTGTATGACCTGCCATTGTAAAAAGGTACACTGTTTAGGTATACTGTTTAGGCAAAAAGAGCATCATCATAGGCAAGTGTGGTGAAGTTGTGAATGCATCCGCCCCTTATTCCATTATTTCTCATGGGGAAAAATTCCCTGGTATCCATCGTTTCAGTATCCATCGCCCTTTTCAAGAACGCATCCTCAATGTATACAGGGGACCGCCTGTATATATATATTAAGTATTATGAAATTAATCTTGTTAGTCTTTCAAGCCTGGTTCACTTATTTTCTTCTTTTATATATAGCCCTCTAATATGGCTAATGTAAGTCTTCTCAAATCCCCCCCAATGGAAATAGCATTATTTAAAACAACAATAGTAGAAAGCACTAGGACAGGGAACAGAGTCAGACTAGACCACAAGTGAAGAACCTGATTCAATATTACAGGGATATTAAACAAATTTAGTTCAGAGGCACATTCCCCCCTTTTTTATCTTTATCAAAACAGCCCACAAAATACAGTATGCTACTAGCTGATGTGAGAAGGAACACAGTACAAGCTTCACAGTAGCGGCAAAGTTGAAGAAAGAAAAAAAGTACTTGGGTTAGGAGCTTAAGGAAAACTATAGACAATGTGGGGGTATATAGGGAACTCAGGGGAAGAAGGAGAAACACTTAAAAGACATGCAGGGGAATTTCTGGGCAATGTACATGGAGAATAAATAATTGGGCAGGAAACAATCTATGAAAGGGTAAACCTGTGGACATGGGGTGGACCACATAGGCTGGTGGAGAGGCTAGCAGAGAGGAAGTATTGAGAAGTTGTAAGAATGGGTATTCTGGGAGATGAAACTGGTTAGGGGTAGGATGTAAGCAAAGGAGACTATGAGCAGGAGTAGTGGGTATCCTGGGGGCAAGTTCAAGGCTTCAGTCATTATCTTCAAAGTTCTCCATGTCCTGGGCCCACCGCCCAGGATACATGAAACACGGTCTAAAGCTCTGCGACGAAGACCATGTTGATCACTTCACGCCTCCTGCACAATGAAACCCACAATGCTAAGAATAAAGTTCCTGTCTGTGGGAGACAGAACTCAGTCCAGGAGCGGTCCTAGACTGCGGAATGAAGTCCCCTGGGAACTAAAGGCCATCACAAACCTCACCACTTTACAATCTAAGTGTCTGGCTCATTTCTTTGACCTTGCCTTCTCCAATATAAACATACAGCCATATGTGTATTTACTTGTTTAAAACTCTGACCACAACAAGACACTGTGCTGCACACAGGTGTCCCCTGGGGAGAAGATCAGAGAGCAAACTGTGACAGACGTGCTGTCATGCTGCTTAATGAACTACTGGAAGGCGCTCAGGCACTAGGATGATGAGCACGGTGTAAGAACCTATACAGCACAGAAGAGAGTAGGATACAGGGAACAATGAGGGTAGCCTAGGGGCAGGGAGGCCTGGGAGAGGCTCGGGACAGAGGGAGTAGGGTGCCTGGCGGCAGGTGAGGTGGGTTTGGGGGTGCCTGGGGGAGAAGGCTGGGGGCAGGAGAGGTGGGGTCAGAGGTGCCTGGGGTCAGGCTGGGGGCCCGGGTGCAGACGATGAGGGGATACCCTGGAAACGCTATAGGCGGGCTGAGCTGCAAGGAGGGGGATGCTCTGCCAGAGGCAGGCCCAGCCAACCCCCCCCCCCGAGAGAAGGCTGTGAGTCCGTGGCAGCCCCACCCCCGCTCTTACCAGCCCAAGTTTGGTGTTTGGGGATCTTGTAGTATTTGTTTCCAAACGGGTCGCTGTCCACAAACTGCTTCTCTGGCCCGAGAAGCCGGAGCCGCAGGGCGCGCAGAAGCCGCCAATGCCCGCCCATCCTCCCGGGCGAGACTCGCTTGTTCTGCCGCGGTCACCCCTTCTCCCCGGCGGTGAAACCAGCGACTTCACAGGCCTCGCCCCGCCTCTGAGCCCGAGAGCGCCAAGTACCTGCCACGCCTCTTCCGCTTAGGCCCCGCCCCCAAAGCTGTGATCTCCAAGTACCTGCCACACCCCTTCCGCTTCGGCCCCGCCCCCAACGCTGTGAGCGCCGTGTACGTGCCCCGCCCCATCCGTCTCAGCAGCGTCCCCAAAGCTCAGAGTCGTGTACGTGCCCTGTCTCTCCTGCTTAGGGGCGGGCTGTTGACTATCCAATAACAGTCCTCTCCATTGGTCACGGTCGTTTCGCACTGAGCCAATCGGCGTCACCCTATTTACAACATGGCGGTGCTCCTGGATCTAGTACTTGCCTGGTCCCGCCATGTTGGCCTTTATTTCGGCCCGCCAAGCCGGTCTCGACGATCCGCTGCGGTTGCGCCGGGCTGAGTCCACCCGGAGGTAAAGAGTCTTTAGGCTCCTGCAGTTCAGTCTCTTCTCGGCTTCGGCCTGACTCGGGCTGTGCCCGGGCGGAACGGGCCACGGAGAAGCCCGGGAATTTCCCTCTCCTCGTAGGCGCTCTGTACGTGCCGGCCCACGTCTCGGATCTTGCCCGCCCTGGGGAGCCAGGACCCTGCGCGGCCCCTGGGTCCCACAGCTGCGCCGGGGGTAGTGAGGGGGCGGTGGCGGCGGCAGAGTTTTTCAACCTCCCCCCCGCGCACTGTGTTGCCCCCACTTGATGCGGGAGGCAGGGCCAGGTGACGGGGCCGTGCCTTAGTGTCTCCTCCCTGGGGTAAGGGATGATGTTTTTACACCAGTGTCGTCCTTTGCCCATTATCAGACATCGACAAGGCCCTGCTGGGCCAGAGCTTTTAACTGGACCTGGGATGACCTGAAACTGCCCTGTCACGGCGAGCGTTTGGTCTCGTCTGTCTGAATTTTACCCTCCGTTCCAGTTTGAGTGCCAGTGGATGAAACCAAGAGTCATGCTCTTTCCCTCTATTTCTGCTTTCTCGCTGCACCCCCCCCCCCCAATTTCCCATTGAGCTTTTTTTTTTAGCAGCTCTCTGTACCGACGTTTGTTTGAAGAAAAACTCAGAAAGGGGACAGGCTATTTATTAAGTGATTTCTTCAGATGTGAAGGATTATATTAATTAGTGCTATTTCTGACAGTAGTGACTCTAGAATAGGTGTTCAGTCTAGAGGTGGTAGTAGTAGTGCTAAGCCCAAGCATTCAAAAATCATGTAAGTCCAAAAATAAGGTATTTAAAAGCATGTTATGTTGGGTTTTTTTACTTACCTTCTGGATTTTGTGTGTTTGGTTTCACACGTTTAAACTTTTTTTCTGTAACCACTAAGGCTGGAAACTTCCTCCTTAGAAAATGAAAACTGAGATTCTCATGTTATCACACAATTCATGGAGCTGGGGCTTTAATAAAAAAATTACATCTATTACTAAGACTTGTGATAAAATGAGAATTGGCTGCATGGAAGTAATGATCTAGCCGCTGTCCTTTGGCTGGACAAAGTTATGTATGTTACTGTCTGTTTTCATTTCAGTTGCACACTTTAAATGCATTATATAATGTTTTAAAATTACACAAGAATTATGACAAGGAATCCTTGTGGCACCTTGGAGACTAACAGATTTATTTGGGCAAATGCTTTATAAATTTGTTAGTCTCTAAGGTGCCACAAGGACTCCTTGTTGTTTTTGTGATACAAACTAACACGGCGACCCTTATGAAACAAGAATTATGCTTTACCCCAAATCTGTGTCAGACTCATGCTTGCTACCTTCCACTACCTGCTGCATGCAAAGTAGTTTGGCTTCAGTGCAGTACGTTTCACCACAGCAGCCATTGTAATGCCTGGTGATATGATGCTGTTTTTGCCAAAGTGTAGCCTTGTGTTGTAACATGCTACTGTAAACCCCATGACATTGTAAAAGCTAAGTTGCATCCTACACGATGAACATGGCATGCTTATTTCCATCCCCCTAAAGTGTATTTGTTCTACATCCTTTTATACAATACCTGTTTACAGACACTAATGTGAACATCTTGAGCATCATATCTAAATGAATTTTATTTGGTTTCTCCTTTCTGAATATTTCACAAATAAATCACTATGAGTTATGGTTGGGCCTTGTAGGACTTCTCAAGTCACAATTCTTTTTATTTAGCTATAACAGAGAACCTTTTCTAGTGTAGGCTAGGCCTGTGTGAAAACCAATACACTAAAACGTCGTGAATCTGCAGACAGACTAAAACAATAAGTATGAGGCACGAATTTCTCTTTTTATCTCAATTAGATGTTAATTCTGAAACCTAAAGATGACAATTTAAATGTCAACATTGTTAAAAAGTTCACTGATGATGATTTTAGCAGAAATATTCAGCTAATCTCATTATCCCATAATTAGGGCTCTACCAAATTCACGTCCATTTCAGTCAGTTTCACGGTCAAAGGAATTTTTAAATAGTTAAAGTCATGCTTTCAGCTATTTAAATCTGAAATTTTACAGTGTTGTAATTGTAGGGGTCCTGAGCCAAAATGGAGTTGGGGTGGGGGTCACAAGGTTATTGTGGGGGGTGTTGTAGTACTGCCACCCTTACTTCTGCGCCGCTGCCTGCAGAGTTAGACCCTCAGTCAGCAGGTACCGCTCTCAAGTCACTGGATAAGTAAGTGTGGCAATACTGTGCCACCCTTCCCCCTTAAAATAACCTTGTGACCCCCCTGAAGCTCTGTTTTGGGTCAGGACCCCCAATTTAAGAAATGCTGGTCTCCCCCATGAAATCTGTGTAGTATAGGGTAAAAGCACACAAAAGACCAGATTTCATGGTCTGTTACGTATCGGGAGTAGCCATGATAGTCTGTATCTACAAAAACAACAAGGAGTCTGGTGGCACCTTAAAGGCTAGCAGATTTATTTGGGCATAAGCTTTCGTGGGTAAAAACCTCACTTCTTCAGATGCATCTGAAGAAGTGAGGTCTGTTGCGTGTTTTCCATAATCCCAAACCGCATCCTGCACTTTTCCAGGTACCAAGAGCCTGATGTGTTTGCCAGCCAGCTGCCAAAATCTTCAGCTTCTCCCAAGAATCTGTATGATACAGCTATGCATTGTCAATCCAAACATCTGATTATATTATTCATTTTCTGTATTTAATTCAATAGAACCCTAATTTTTTAATTTTAAATTAAGCTGCAGCAGGATTTCCAGTCTGCTACAGCCAGGCATTTAGCACAGAATTTAATTCCAGATTGCAATGGAGAATAAATAGCTTTTGGTATAAGAATAGTAGTTAAGAGACTGCTGCTAAAGTAAAAATTTAGGTACCAATCTGTGAAAGTGAAATGCTGAGCACTTCCAGCTCCATTTGACTTCAGCTGCAGGAGGCATTCAGCACCTTGAAAAGTGGATGTTCATGTCGTGCATATAAATTGTGGTTTTCCTGTACTTTTGTTGGCAAATGGGATTGCTCAGTAGAGTGTAGATTTTTCATAACATGGTAGCAGAATTTCTAACTCCACTTACGGAGCTTGGTTTTGGTGCATATCACATTTTCATAACTAAGAGGAGCCGTAACTCATTGAACTAAAGAACTTATAAAAGGTGTTTCTCGTTATCACCTACCTTGCTCAAAGCTAGTTTCACTTTGCAGTCATTAGAAGACGACAGTAAAATGTGAAAGGACTTTCATAGATATATTTTAATAAACCCACAACTTTGACCTCACCATATTTTTCTCATTAATTTTATTGTGCTATTCATAAGTCTTTTGATCAAATGACTATTTAGTATTTTTCTGAATCTATAAAATGCTGAGTCCTTTTTTGCGTGTGTGTGTGTGTATATGTGTGTGCGTGCGCGCTGTTTCATCCTGGATAATAAACTCCAAGCACGTTGTGATCTCATCAACACACTTTTTTGCTTAATTTGAATTTTTTTAAGACCAAGTATCTTTCCTATCTTTGATCAGATGTTGAGGAAAATTGTAGTTATTCTTGTCAGTTACAACAGAAGAAAAATGTTTGATTGACACTTAGAACAGTAGCTGGATTTGCATGATCATACAAATTAAGAGTAAAAACAAATCTTGTGCATAACACAGTGAATGCTTCTGATGTTTCATTAGCTGAATTTGAATTATCAAAAATTTTCATGAGGATGTCATTTGTTTCTTTCTTAGTGATACAAAAGATGTGGAAAACATATTTAATTATTTGTAACTGTCACGTGGTGGTGGTTTTCTTATTCATTCTGTATAACAAATCACTTTTTCATTTACTAAAATAACTGGTTTCAGAGTAGCAGCCGTGTTAGTCTGTATCTGCAAAAAGAAGAACCGGAGTACTTGTGGCACCTTAGAGACTAACAAATTTATTAGAGCATAAGCTTTCGTGGACTACAGCCCACTTCTTCGGATGCATAAAATAACTGGTTTGTCCACTAGGTGTCCTTAGTTTTATTAAATAAACTACCAAATGATCATGGTTGGGATGAAGACTAACTTATTTGTGAATATAGTAGATATAAAAGTATATAAATATTTCACTTTTTTATATTTCTGATACTTGCATTATATGCCCATTTTCAGTTATACATTTGTTGGCATTAATTGCTAAATAAAGATTTGTAGTCCTCCACCTCCAAATAATATACAGTGTGGTAATTTCAGCCAGTTACACATTTCTTATTTTTAGTTCTACATCAAGTCTGAACATGTACTTTAAAATGTAAAGGGTAATAATTGAATGTATTGAGTCAAAGAAGAATTCTGAGGATCACAAATTTGACTTTTTGTTGTACTAAAGAAAAGGTAAAATTTGAGTACTTCCTGATTCTCACCGTTCATGGTTTGATATATTCTGTTTTTTTAAAGGGTACTAAGCTTGGAGCTAAACAAAGATAGAGATGTGGAAAGAATCCATGGCAGTGGTGTTAACACCCTGGATATTGAACCTGTTGAAGGAAGATAGTAAGTAAATTATGCTGTTTTATTATCATGTTGATTTTACAGAAGTTACTTTGCTGAATGTGAACATTCAGTTACTTTGAACAGATTGTGAGTGTAGGATATCTAAAAGCTATGTTATGTTTGTTCTTACAGCATGTTATCAGGTGGGTCAGATGGTGTTATTGTACTTTATGACCTTGAAAACTTCAGCAGAAAACCATGTTATACATGTAAAGCAATTTGTTCTGTGGGCAGGTACGTATCTTTTAAAAAAAAAAATCACTGAAATATTTTTAGCAATTTTATTGTATATTTTGCATTGAATTCACAAATTGTTGCACTTTAGTATTTTACTTCCTACATAAAACCCTAATCACACATAGGACCAGACAACTTTGATTAAAAAAAAACATTAATGACACACTCAGTTAAAAGTATAATCAATTCTGAAGTTGTAGGAGCAGCTGTTCCGTTTTTTATGTTTTTTTTAAATGTTAGCTAATCTAGTAGTTTCATTAGTCATGCACGTAAAAATAGGAATCTACTGACCATACAGTTATATAAAACTTTTCATCCAAGGAGTTCAATACTGTAAAGCATTGGATATTTTTACAGAGAGGAAAATTGGAGGCACACAGAGATTGTGTGTTGCCTAGGACCTCACGGAGCATCAGTGGCAGAGTCAGCAATAGAAGCCCAGTCTCCTGACTTACAGTCCTGTTTTAACCCTAGAAAACCCTGCTTTTCCTGTTTTCAACTTACAGATTCCTTATTCTGACTTTCATGTTATCCCACACTGAAATTGACCATGTAGATGTACAGTGCTATGTCTAGGCATAAGGACAGTAATTTACAATTCACTCTCTTTAGTAGACTGGATAGAATCCAAAATAATTTGCAGCTAGTTACTTATGAAGTTGGGAAAATTATTTTGAGGATTCTAGACAAATGATTTATGCAGTGGTAATCTGGAATTTGCCAAGGTCATGCTTGAATGAGGACAGTCCCAATATTACTGGCAAAAGATAGGCCATAATTTTATTCACAATTCATTCTACAATATTACAGCTAAAACTGACAGAGAACTTAGTATATACGGTAGCCCTATAGTAGAATTAATGCATCTGTATAACCTACTCACAAGTCCCCAATGCCCTTACAGATTTGTCAGACTTTCCCTGCAGGTCATAAGGATTTGTTCTTTTTATGTATTTATTGTTGCCCATCCTTGTACTTAGGAAGTTGGGCCGTCCCACAAGCAAAGACTTTTTCTGTGTCTCATGATAGTTTGGCCTTCCCTGCAGGAGTTAGTGGGTACCTGTAGTAGTTCCGGGGTGGGGCTCGTCCCTTCCTGGGGCGCCTGAAAGTCAGGCTGCCCCGCTACAAAGCGAATAACAGTTAGGGCCCCGACCTTTGGGTAGGGGCTAAGCACACAATTGACAGTTCAGGGCTCAGGCCCCTATGCAGAGACTGAGCACACAATTAACAGTTCAGAGCTCAGGCCCCTATGCAGGGACTGAGCACACAATTAGCAGTTCAGAGCTCAGGCCCCTATGCAGGGACTGAGCACACAATTAGCAGCTCCGGCCCTAGGTCAGGGCGGGG